CACTCAGTACCCCCGACAGCCACCTTAACACCCTCGACAGCCACCCTAACACCACCGACAGCCACCCTAACATCCCCGACAGCCACCCTAATACCCCCGACAGCCACCCAAACACCCCCGACAGCCACCTTAACACCCTCGACAGCCACCTTAACACCCTCGACAGCCACCCAAACACCCCCGACAGCCACCCAAACACCCCCGACAGCTACCTTAACACCCTCGACAGCCACCCAAACACCCCCGACGGCCACCCAAATACCCTCGACAGCCACCTAAGCGCTCTCCCGACAGCCACCCAGATTCCCTCTACCCAAAGGGCCACCCAGATAAGGTCGCACAAAAAAAAAAGTTCCACAATAAAAGAAGATCGCTCAAGAATAAGAAACAGGTCACCACATAGAGATAAGAACATAGTGTTATTCTGAAGAACACTGCGTAGGAGTGTTTAACATCCTAACTGTTGGGTTATCTTCACCATCAGCGGTGAGCTGTGTTCAGAGTCCGGGCCGGGCTACGGTCAGGCCAGGGAGAGAGAGAGAGAGAGAGAGAGAGAGAGAGAGAGAGAGAGAGAGAGAGAGAGAGAGAGAGAGAGAGAGAGAGAGAGAGAGAGAGAGTTGTAATAATTTTGGCAGAATTACCGACAATATATTAGGTAAAAGGAGAGAAGAGCAATTAATGCGACCTTTTATTTTGGCCAAGTTTCACTCTCCAGGAACCTGACAAAGCTCTCCAGGAGAGCGAAACGTTGCCACAATAAAAGGCTGCATTAGTTGCACCTGTGTCCTTCTACCTAACATAAAGGGAGGGCTACGGAGGCACTAATACCCACGATACTTTAGGATACGCTACAACTACATTCCTTCACTCCCTAGCAACCCAGGACTTGGTAATTATTTTGAGCGACGGGCCACGTCACCAGCTTAGATAAGTCCTTGCAAAACTACAAACGTTTAATAATAGATTAAAATTTATGTTTTCCGTTTGGACATAGAAAAGATTAAGGTTTATTACCGATATCAGTCAAAAATTGTAATAAATGGCAACAAATCCCCGATCACTTATTCAATAAATGAATTTTATTATTAATGAGGTTATGAGGAGGTTAATCTATGGGAAGAATGGGTTAATGTCCACTTGGTGCTTAAAAAAGACTAAAAAATAACTTTTTTTCCAACAAACCAACAGAATAACGAAAGTTTTTTCTTTTAATTTAGTAATGTATACAGGAGAAGGGGTTACTAGCCCCTTGCTCCCGGCATTTTAGTCGCCTCTTACAACACGCATGGCTGACGGAGGAAGAATTATTTTCCACTTCCTCGTGGAGATAAGAGGAAATAAAGAATAACAAGAACTATCAAGAAAATAGAAGAAAACCAAGAGGGGTGTGTGTGTATATATGCGTGTACATGTATGTGTAGTGTGACCTAAGTGTAAGTAGAAGTAGCAAGATATACCTAGTATCCTGCGTGTTTTTGAGACGGAAAAAAGACACCAGCAATCCTACCATCATGTAAAACAATTACAGGTTTCTGTTTCACACTCACCTGGCAGGACGGTAGTACCTCCCTGGGTGGTTGCTGTCTACCAACCTACTACCTAGAGACTTATTTTTATCTAAATGATAAAAAAGAAACTCATAAGTCAGGCTATAATCATAACCATAATTTTTAAAGGGGTGTACTGGTTAAGCCGGTGGAAGGCCTCGGTCAGATGACCAAAAGCTCCGGCTGTGGGTCATCATGTGACCAAAACCCGCGTCAGGAAACACATGTCCTGTTTACTGACAAACCTTACCTATTCAGGCATATTTTCATTATTTGGCGAGTCATTCAAGAATATTGATTACAATGCGAAGAGCTCTCTCAGTGGAGAACAACAGACGTCTGTTTATCAAGTCCGGAGTTATCAACGGTCCTGCACTGCTGAGCACTGCTTACACAAATAACCCGCATATAGGAGAGAGGAGCTTACGACGACTTTTCGGTCCGACTTGGACCATTTCCAAAATCCAAGTCGGACTGAAACGCAGGCCTAAGGTCCTCTCTCCTATGTGTGGGTTATTTGTTTATTGTTCCAATCACGGTATTGTGCCTTTTTGTCAGTCATCGGTCATCGCACATCTTACGTTGTATGTTATTCACTTTCATCATAGAAAATGTCAGCTCATTAATATAAAGACTGACCCAAACCAACATGTTTCCAGCAAGACTCTTCTGTTCTGATAATGAAGCAGAACACTGCAGTAATGTTGCTAAGTCAGCTAACTGCTTTTTACAACCACGATCTTGTAATATAACTCTATGTATAAAGGATGCCTTTCATTGTAGATTAGAATAGAGTTCGTTCATGTGCTTCATGACATCAATGACAAATGAATAACCAGAGAGCCAATTCACATCATTTAGTTGTGGAAAATTCATAGATTTTTGTTTTATGCCCAAAAACAACACACCAATCTCTGCTCTTTTCAGGACCTTTCCCAAATTGAGTCATCTTACATTTGTGTGATATGTAACTTCATGCGGTCGAATTCAGACTCCTCAATCACGGTTGTAAATTGTTTGTGTTTAATACAGTACCAACAAGATGAAGAATTAGATACATGTGCAACATCTGGGTATCTTTATTATAGACGCTTCACCTTCCAGTGGCTTTATCAATACAAATTCAAGGACATAATTGGAAGACAGTAGAACTATATATAAAACATACAGATCTACTGTTTTCAATTAAGTCTTTGAATTTGTATTGATAGAGTCCATGGATAGCGGAACGTCTACAATGAAGGTCCCCAGATGTTGCACAATGCACATGTGTCCAATTCTTCACAGTGTTATTGGTTGAATGAAGTTAAACAGCATCGTAACTGCATGCGCAACATTACTTAGATGTAGAAGACTTGCAGAGAACCTATTAGTGAATGATGCTGTGTAGGGAAACAATATTCTAATTAGCAAATATTTATTTTTTGGGGCTCAATCTTGAATTATTTCCAGCAATCCATCATTTTTACCCATCATATTTGGACTTACCATCAGTGCTCACACTAGCTGTTGTTTTCTTCTCATTCTTAATTTCACGATGAACCCATTTACTGCCTCCAATAAATCTCCAGTTGCCGTAATTTTCACTGATTCCAGTTCTTTTGTGAGCTAAAAAACTTTGGAGATAATTCGAATAAAAATGCGGAACTGGCCTGAGTCGTGGACATCACAGCTCTTATACGATGCCTGCGAAAAATCCTCAAAATTTCTTCCTAGCTGCAAGCGCAGGTTCTCGGCGATATTCTCTACGTCTCTCAATTACGTGCATGTTTTCTTCAAACTGTCTGGACAGTTTCAGGAAAATAAGTCTTTTTGGACATAAAATAGAAGCAGAGTCACATACATACTCTTCCAAGAGAAGGAAGAATGAAGAAAATTCTCTAGCCACCATCCCAGTTCCTAGCAACAATACCAGCTGCTCCTAGTTACCGTACCTCACTGCTCAGCCGTCCCTAACCATCGCCCCAGTTGGTCTTATCCACCGTCCCTCAGTACCCAGCTGTCCCTAGCCACCGCCCTTTCCTACCCAGCTACCTCTAGTTCTTATCTCTCTGCAAGATGCTTCTAGCCACTGTTCTTCGCTACTCAGTCGTCTCTTAGCTACTGTCCCAGCGCCTCTTAGTCCCCATCTCTCACTATCCAGTTCCTCTTAGCCATCGCCTTTCACTACCCAGCAGCCCCTAGCCACTGTTCGTAACTATCCAGAGTCCATAACAGCCCTCCTTTTTTAGCTACCGTCCAACACTCCCTGCCTCTCAAAACCCAGTCTTTCCCGGATATAACTATAGAAACAACAGACTTTCCCGGATATATCTACAGCAACCCAGTCTTTCTTGGTTATAACTGTAGAAACCCCAGTTTTTCTTGGTTATAACTGTAGAAACCCCAGTCTTTCTTGGTTATAACTGTAGAAACCCCAGTCTCACTTGGTTATAACTGTAGAAACCCCAGTCTTTCTTGGGTATAACTGTAGAAACCCCAGTCTGTTGAGTATGACTGTAGAAACCCCAGTCTTTCTTGGGCATAACTGTAGAAACCCCAGTCTGTTGAGTATGACTGTAGAAACCCCAGTCTTTGTTGGGTATAATTGTAGAAATCCCAGTTTTTCTTGGGTCTAACTGTAGAAGCCCCAGTCTGTTGAGTATAACTGTAGAAACCCCAGTCTTTGTTGGGTATAACTGTAGGAACTCCACTCAAAATTTTTTTGGTTATAACTGCAGAAACCCCAGTCTTCGGTGGGTATAACTGCAGAAACCCCGGTCTTTCCTGGGTATAACTGTGAAACCCGTCTTTCTTGGTTACAGTTGCTGATAGCTCAGTTTTTCCTGGTTATAATTCCAGAAAACACATTTTTCCTGTCTTACAGCTCCTACAGCCAAACATTGCAATTGACAAGTGCTCACAAGAAGAGCTCCTGGTCAGCTGAACCTCTCACAGCTAGACGAGTGACTCGCCCCACTGGGGTCAGCTGCCCGCGCCTTTCAATAGAGTTCTCGACAACGCAAAATCAACATTATTGTGTCTGTAGCCAAGTAGAGTTTTCTTCGCCTACTTCCTCCCTTAAAACTCCAGCAGTCTCCCCGCCCCCTAGCGTCACATCTGGTCCGGGGTGCAGTAAGGCCGTCAGTCGCCCTTGTTAGCAGCGACACCCTCGATTTATGAGGATAGCGGTGAAAATAGAGACCAATTATGGTCATTATGAAGCTGACAGTGGTGTGTGCGTAGCTTACCCGCCATCATCTAGCCTACTGTAATCTCCCTGTCGGCCAGAGCGAAACACTATCTGAAGTGGGGCGGAGTCTGTTCTTCCGACATGCCGGATTGGTCATGCAGACAAGTCGACTCCTCCCAGTATCAAAGGGCGATTAATGATTGGTAGTCGTCACGTGGTGGTTGCCTTGGGGCGGGGCCGGGCTGCGCAGTGACGTCATCAGTGATTGGTGGGTGGGCCGGGTAATTTGTAGTGTGATCGCGGGCGTTGAGGATGTGTTAGTGGCGACGATAACAACTCCCAGGGGACGATGGCACGGCCTGCTGGCCTCCGCGAGTGACACTATCCCCGGCACCTCGCGAACACTGGGCCTCGCTCCTCCTCGCCCTCAATCATGTATTCTGCCTGCAAGTGCTGCTAATTGCAAGGTGCGAACCGACCCCGATGTAATTCGGAAGTGCGCGTTCCGACGGACAAACGGCGTTGTCCACGCTGGAGGCTGGTGCCCACGACGCTGCCGCCGGCCTCATGGCTCCTGCACGCGGCCGCTGCTAAAGAAAAACTCGTGGTTTAACCTCGAGTTGTTGTAACGAGACGGTAATTACTGCAGAAAGTGTAATTAGCGGGTTGTTAGGTGAATAGTGCGGTTAGAGCGGCGTGATGTGTGACACTTCAGAGACCATGGACACGCGGTCAGAGCCCTCCCAGGGCACTGACGGTGACGCTGACGATGACATCTCCGTCGGCAGCCATTCGCCGCTGCCGCCGCCTCGCAACGACACAGACGACTCCATGATCGACGTAGACGACAGCGCCAACGATGAGCGCGGCGAAAAGGTAGCGGCGAGCCCCAAGGTGGAGCCTCCGGACCCCGCCATGAGCCCCGGGCCGCCCCGGACGCCCCCCGTGGCCCACCAGGCCAACAACGCCGCCCTCCACCGCTCACTCAAATTCTCCATCGACAACATTCTTAAGCCCGATTTCGGGCGTCGTCTGGGCGAGGCGGTGGAGAGCAGCGACCAGCCCGTCGACCTCTCCCGGGTCACCAACAGGGATCCCAAGAAGATTTTCGGTGACCCGGCGCGCAGCCTGGCTGAGGTGGGTCAGGCACCTAACAACCTCCTCCTGAAGGAGCGGGAGGGCAGTGGTGGAACCCTCTGGCCCGCTTGGGTTTATTGCACCCGATATTCCGACCGACCTTCTGCAGGTGAGTACTGCCGTCCCTACTGTACCACCTGGTTTATATCAACTGCACCACCTGGTTAATATGAGCTGTACTGCCTGGTTTATATCGACACCTAACGACGCTACCTATAGTGCTGCCTCGAGCCTTTGCTCCAAGAAATTAGAGCTTCCCTCTTCTTCTATGGATCAAACTTGATTACCTCTCCTTCCTCAGGCGCCGTAGACCCCTGCGGGTATAGCGCTTCAACCATAAAAATAAATATAATGCACGTCACTTGAGAAGCTTGCACTCTCCGTGTTGTGTTCGCGGGGGGTCGAGTCTCGGCTCCTGATGGCGTCTTCAAGGTTATTTTGGCTATTCTTGGCTACAATAACATTAATACTATAATATCAGTATTACTAGTTTCTGTCCGTCTGGACTGCCTCATACCTGTTCTTGAAGCTGTGTGTTGTAAAGTAAATGGACACAAGTGCAACTAGTTGCACTTGTGTCCTTTTACTTTATATATTGTCGGTAATTCTTCCAACATTATTACAAGGTGCGCGCTATATTTACCCTGAGACTCTAGAGAAGTGAGTCTCTTATCCCGTGTGACTTCCTGGCATTAAAAGTTCCTTAAGGATCGTATGACAGTCAACGAAGGAGGGAAGGAAGGGGTTGGATTTATAGTGAGAGGGGTTGAGTTATAGTGAGGGGTTGGATTTAGTGACAGGGGTTGGATTTAAGCGGGACTTGCACATGAGTTAAAAGGGGTTATCATAGCTTACGAGTATTGCTCGCGTAGAACTGAAAATGGATTGGGCAAATGTTTTTGTTAGTGGGTTGGATTTGATAAGGACCTGCCCAGTATGGGCCAGTAGGCCTGCTGCAGTGTTCCTCCTTTCTTATGTTCTTATGAACCCAGGTTAGATTCCCAGGCAGGGCGCGATGTATGGGAAAGTCTCCTTACATGTGCTGACTCTGGTCCCCTAGTATTACACAGATACCCGGGTATTAGTCTCCTTACACCTAGTGCCTTTGTAAGTTAGTCTTCTTACACCTGTTTACGTAGTATTAAACAGGCACCTGGGTGCTAGTCGACGACTGTTTAGAGTGGCATCTTGGGAAGGGATAGCACAGTCGGAGATACATTCTGACTAGTGACATGACAACAGTGACGTGTGACATATCGGTAGACGTTAGCTAATGACATGACAACGGTGACATGTAACGTACCTCTTGATGCTTACCAATGATATGACAACAGTGACGTGTGATGTAATGCTATACGTTAATTAATGACATGACAACAGTGACAAGTAACATAACAGTAGACGTTTACCAATGATATGGCAAGTGACGTGGAACGTAACGCTAGACGTTTACCAATGACATGACAACAGTGACGTGTAACGCAACACTAGACGTTTACCAATGACTTGACAGCAGTAACGTGTGACACTAGCAACACGTGAAACCAGTGCCGTGACACTAGTGACTAACACCAGTAACATGTAACAAGTAACATGTAACACACTAGGCCTGTGATATCTTGTTGACAAGAGACAATATACTCCGTAGAATTGTTATCTTGTCTGCCAGGCAGCGAGCTGAACAGTGTAGTCATTCCTACCAGAATGTCGGTAGAACGATGTCCACACCATCCTCAAGTGCTGGCGAGAAATGTTGCCGTCTCTACTGTACCTTAGTGTGTTAGTAGTTTGTTGATGTTGTGAGTTGTGTTGATGTGAGTTGTGTTGATGTTGTGAGTTGTGTTGATGTTGTGAGCTGTGTTGATGTGAGTTATGGTGTTGTGAATTAAGGTGTTGTTAGTTATAGAGTTGAGTTATGGTATATTGTGAAATGTGGTGTTGAGAGTGATGTCGTGAGTTATTATTATTATATATATATATATATATATATATATATATATATATATATATATATATATATATATATATATATATATATATATATATATATATATATATATATATGCAAAACAACCACTGTGAAAGAATAGAGAAATTCCAAGCGTTTTCGTGACTACTCACATTATCAAGGAACATTATCATTGTTCCTTGATAATGTGAGTAGTCACGAAAGCGCTTGGAATTTCTCTATTCTTTCACAGTGGTTGTTTTGCATATTCTGAGATCAACTGTTCACTGTGATCTTATTGTATATATATATATATATATATATATATATATATATATATATATATATATATATATATATATATATATATATTATATATAATGATCAATATAAATCTGTGGTGACGGGGGTCAAGGTTTCTCCCTATGCTGTACTGACTATTGTCTTAACTGAAGAGGATAATTTGGAAGTTATAATTGTTCCACAGAGACGTATCGCTTATATAGGTGTTATAACGGTTCCAGTGAGATGTTTCGCCTATATAGGCGTCATGTAACGAGAGTTTTGTGTGAGCTTTCATAAGTGAATATTAAGGGAAGAGAGAATAACATTTATCACATAGCAGGGAACTTTATACACAAGGCTAGTGACTGTGGTGAACCAGACACCTGTGCTACAATCATCTAGTTTTACTATCATTAGCCTGAGTAGCAGGCTTCTTCAGTCGGATACAGAGGTGACTGTCACACTGGAGATAGAAGAAGAAGCGGTGAGGTATTCAGGCCCTTAGTCTTGAAGAGTTAGCGTAAGATATTCAGTCCCTTAACCTGTAACTCGTCAAAAAAGACAGCCAGGTGTTGCACACGCGTCTTATTCATCGGTATTATATACTAGTAATAAATAGAACAATACTTTATTTATGTTACTATAAAACCACGGTAAGAGAACAACAACAGTATGGCATCAGTAGGCATCAGCCAGGCAGCAGAGGTGCTGTCATGCAGGTCATGTACTACGTCAGGCAACAAAGGTTTAAACATACGTCAGGCAGCTTAGGCACTGTTACGTAGGTCTTGACCTACGTCAGACAGCATAGGCACTGTTACGTAGGCCTTAACCTACGTCAGGCAGCGTAGGAACTGTAGTGAAGGTCTTGACCTACGTCAGGCAGCGTAGGCACTTTTACGTAGGTCTTGACCTACGTCAGAAAACGTAGGCACTGTTACGTAGGCCTTAACCTAAGTCAGGCAGCGTAGCCACTGTCACGAAGGTCTTTTCCTAGGTTCATCGCGGGTACGAGGTTCGTAACACAGTGTTAGTGAGTTTCACTTACTCGTGCCCAGGGGCGGATCTACTATGAAAGTAATGAAACTAAGCTTCAAGGCCCCTAATTCCGGAGTGGCCCCCAGAAACGACTTTAGTCTACACTGCTTAAAATTTCTGGGCCTACTGTATGAGAAGGGGTTGCCAAGGGACCCCATAACAGTTCAAGCTTCAGGGCCCAAAAAATGTAGGTCCGCCACTGCGAGTCGTGCCTCCAGTTACCTGGGGTTGCACCCTTGGTGACGGGGCAGGAAGTATGGGCAAGTCTCCTAACACCTGGTGCCCAGGTTACCCAGCAGTAGATACCCGGGTATTAGTGGACTGTTATGGTCCTCAGCAGACCACTGTAGGTTCGGCCCAGGAAGAGACCCACTACTGTAGGTCACTTCCTGGAAAAAAGACCCACGCAAAACATTGGAAATAACCCACACTGCGTGGTTGTCATGGGATGAGCGAGGCCATTAACCCTCCCAGATAACTAATACGAATAAATTCTTCTTCTCCATCTCCATGATCTTCTTCCTCTTCTACATGTTCTGTTGGACGCTAGTCAAGGCTTAGGGACTGACCGCCTCAAAAATACTTTAAGACTGATGGACTGATCACATCTTTACCTCTCCACCGTTTCTCCTGTCTCCAATTTTTAGCCACCGCTGTGTTCGACTGAAGAAGCCTACTGTGCAGGCGAAACATTTCGGATATAAAGATAGCAAAGTGTTGCACATGTGTCTAATCAACCTGTCGGAATTGTTTACCATTATCATCATAATTCTTCTTCTTCGTCAGGCAGAGGTTCTCTCTTACTGATGTCATCATTATTCTTCAACTACACACACACATCACACACACACACACACATACACACACCACACACACACACACACACACACACAAGCACACACACACACACACACACACACAGATACAGACACACACACACACACACGTAATTACAAATATATATGTCGTATCTAATAAGCTGAACATGTTCAACAAGCTGAACTCCCTTAAAATTTGGACTTTTCCAAATATTTTATACAGATTCAAAAATATATTTTTTCACTGACAATGAAGTACATTTTTTTTGACCAATCTTAACTAAGAAACTTCACCTAACCAAACCTAGCGTAATTTTTGTCAGCCAAATTCTACTAAGTATATCATAGATTAATTTAAATTGATTTAATATCATTCAAAATCAATAATATATATATTTTTTCCTTATGCTCAGAATAACTTTCGCAGATATGTGCCAAAAACAAATTTCCAGAAAGTCCCAAAAAAAGTCCCCTGTTTTTTTTAAACCTAACTAGCCGGTTTGGCTTATTAAAATGTCATAAACATTACGGTCACAAATATTATGAACATTACAATAACATTCTCATGAACATAAAGAAACTTCAGCTCCGGGTCATGGGTATGACGGTACCTAATGACGCCGCAGGTGATGTTCAGTACCGTCATGGTTATGACCCGTAGGTACTCCTGAGCGCTAGGTGACCGTCAATACTGGTGGCAGGAAAGACGAACCTTAACTAGGTAAAGAACCTCGAGTGTCAGCAGACGCTGTGCTGTGTCTCAGTAGCAGTGTGAGGAGTGACCAGGCTTTTGCCTCGAGAATTACCTAAGGTTTCATACACATCAAAACAGAGACGTACTCATCAGAATATATAGATTATGTATGATCTGTATAAGTCTACTACTACTACTACTAACTAATATTATTAAAGATATGTTTTAATGACAGTGATCATATTCACTATAACACAACCGGAAATATAAAACAACAGGAATTATAACAAACAGGAACTATAAAACAACAGGAATTATAACACAACAGAAACTATAACATAACAGGAACTATAAAACAACAGAAATTATAACACAACAGGAACTATAAAACAACAGGAACTATAAAACAACAGGGATTATAACACAACAGGAACTATAAAACAACAGGAACTCTAAAACAACAGAAAGTATAACATAACAGGAACTATAAAACAAACAGGAACTCCAAAACAACAGAAAATTATAACACAACAGGAAGTATAAAAAATAGGAACTATAAAACAAAGGAACTGTAACACAACAGGAACTGTAAACCAACAGGAACTATAAAAAAACAATTACTATAAAACAA